ATGTATTAACCTTGACCTGATAGGTCTGTGTTGTCTGATATTTTTTTTTTCTTTTCTGATTAGAGTCCTTTATAATAGTTTTGATTTGCTTCCTTTTATGGGTTTCCAGAAGTTTGAGATCTGTAGGCAAAATCAAAGATATTTTATATGCCAGTATAAATTACTGATTATTTAACTGAAATTTGGTAAAAGGATTATTACTGTAAAGCAAGAAAAGAATAACTAAAAATACAACTTCTTGGAGCATGCTGTCTGCAGTGTTTCATTTACAAAGTCATTTGTGAGAAGAGGAACTGTTGAAAGGGGAGAGATTTTAAGTTCTCAATGGCTGTTTTTAAAGGGCTGTTGTGGAGGTTAAGAGCAGGATTCATGCAGGTTTTTAAAGCTCTTATTCTACGTACACGTTGTGCTAGATTCAACGGGGTGGCTCAGGAGATTTTCCTTTAGAAGCAGCTGTTGAATACAGCTGGACTGGCTGGGTGGCTGACTGAGGGTATCCTCCATCGTGCACAATGGTTCTTAAGCATAGACTATCTCTTCTCCCAGTGAAATATAGTGCAAAAGATGCCCAAAAATGGGGAAAAAAACCCTCGACTGATGCATGTTCCTATTGAATTGCTTGTTGGCTCTCATGCGCTGTAGTTCCCAGGGCACTGGCTTGCTCCTTCCATGAGCTGTGCTGATGCTCAAATGTCTCTTCTTGCTTAGCAGCTGGATCAGTGCAAGCTCAGAAAAGCTTTTTTTCCTCTTCATCTTGGCTCGTGAAGTCTGTCCCTTGAGCCCAGTGGGGAGACACGCCTGCAAACCTGGTCTGGTTACACGCCTGTTTGCAAAAAGTCCATCCCAGTTGCATGCTCCTGAACATGGAATCATTTAGGTTGGAAAAGACCTTGAAGATTGAGTCCAACCGTAAACCCAATGCTGCCAAGTCCACCACTAAACCATGACCCTAAATGCCACATCTACAGAGACGCATAGTCATAAATGGCTACTTTTGGACTACCCTTGTGTGGCACATCCTTTGGATAACCTGAGTGGAAAATGCCATGAAAGTAAGCTCTTGTCTGAAGCATCACTGAAATTTAACTATTCTTTTGTGTAGTCTGAAATATCGGTTCAATTTCCAAGGCAGTTCTATGAGAACAAGGTTGAATGTTCTGTAGTGTCCTTACAAAACTGTAAGGATGAGGTTGAGATGATCTGAGGAAACCTGTAATATTTCAACGGTTCTCTCATTTGGTTCCATCTTTGCCAAGCCTGCAGGCTCTTTGTCTGAGCTATCAGCATGCAGACGTTTGTATTCTCACCATTAAAACAATCTCATTTGCTTTGCTGTTTTTTTTAACGCTACCCCAAGCCCTGGCCTCTGAAGCTTTTTGAAAATAACATTTACAATAATATTTTTAACAGTTCCGTAGTATACAAAACTCCAGCGCCCTGGCAGGACTCCCGGAAACTTGCTGAAAGTTAATGTGGTCAACTCTTAAAAAGGAGAGATTTTTTCCGCTTGACTCTTGCTTGTTAAACTCGCTGAGCCCAACATGTTGTTCCCTGCTGCTTGAAAAAACAAGGAAAGTCCCAATTTTAGCAATGCTAGTTTGAGTAGCTTTCCAGCTGAGCCACATTCCAGGGGCAACTGTGGCTTATTATTCTTTTTTTATGGTGGTGTGTCCCTACACCTTCAAACCAAAGTGTTAAGAGGTACTCGGGCCCAAATAAGTAGGTGCTGCTGTCCCTGGAAGGCTGGGGAGGATAAAATGAGATGCCACCACTTGTACAGCAGTGGGAGGAAGACATCCCAACTCAGGGGCTGTGTTTTATGATGGATGCTGAGTCTCTGGGGGGGAAGAACAGCCCTTTTTGGGGTAGGCAATACCTTAAATCCCATTTCAAGTCAATGGTAGGCTGCTGGTGGCTCTAGCTCAATGCTGGACTATATTCTTCCCAGTTTCCTAACCCTCATCTTACATCCTTCTTCCTAGTAAGTCTCTTCCAGTCACATTTTTGTCTTCTCTCACATCCAGGAAAACATTGCTCTTCTCCATCCTCTCCTCCCCTGCTTTGCCTTCCCCAGCTTAGATGCCCAGAGGTTGGAGTCACATCTAGTTGGGCACTATGTTGCTGTTGTCTGCCTTGAACTCAGTCTTGTTTAATCCCTTTCCAGCCAGGAGTATGGGGTGAAAAGGGAATATCTGGCACTATTTTGTTTTAAAATGGATTAATAACTTTGCATGTAGTTCTTATATGGATACACATACTCTGCACTCCTGTAGCCACAATGATGTCGAACCACTTTGGCTGCAGAATTGAGTTCAGCTCAGTTAAATCTAATCTTAACTTTCATTGCTTGTGGAGATGGGGTTTGTACACAGTGAGGTTGCCAGGGCAGTGGTTTGTAGATTGACCGTGGAGATTTAGAGTAGATCTAGAGTAGATTTAGAGCTGGTTCCACTAGCTATGGGAGCAGTGGAGTGTGAATGGGAGCCCTGTTTCAAGTGCTTGCTGGTTTGTGTTGTGAACTGCCACCACCTGAAGGCTGTGATGAGGGAGCTTGGTGGGAGGAGAAGGGGGATGCTGCTTTGAAGCACATCAGAGTAGAAAAAGGATTTTTCCTTTTTTTTTTTTTTTCCCCCCGCCTCTTATTTTTTTCCCTTTTCCCTCCCTGTTTTTTAAGGGAGATAATAAAAGGACAGAATTTGTACTAGAAACAGGAATTTGTCCTTCTGTAAAAGGAAGCTGCTGGTATGTATTTTTGGGAAGCCACGGAAATGGCCAGTGTTTGCAGTCCAATTTGAAGGCTGGCTGTCCTCAGGATTGAGGAGATCTGGTAAAATAGGAAACCTTTTTTCTCTTTTTTTTTTCTCTTTTTTTTTCTCTCGTGTATCTGTGGAGGCTTCCTGCACTGTGTACGGCAGCTGGTTTGCTCAGGAGAGCTGGGCAGTTGGGGTCTCAGGGGCTTGCTGTGGCAGAGATGATGGAGAAGAGCACAGGGCAAGGCTCTGCTGATGGAAGGGTCACCTGTTTCTCCAGGGTTTCTTGCACGGTTCCTGTAGGTGCATGCTTTCGTAGCTAGGTAGGGATTGCAAAGGTCTGGAAGGTGTCCAAAAAGCCATTAGAGAAATCTATTACACTGATGGGAGAGTTAACCAGGGCTACCCCAGGAATTTAGGGTTAATCCAGGCTATCTGCAGGTGGCCCTTGGTGCCAACTCTGCACGCGGCTTAATTACTGGAAGTGTCGCAACAACTTTTGAAAGCAAAAGCAGTGAAGATTTGGGCCGTTTCCTGCTCTTGTTATAATCAGATGGAATTTTTACATTTACTTTTTGGTGTTTCTCTGCTCTCTCTCGTTCCGCTGTTGCGTAGACCAACTGGTTCCTCCTCGAGATAGGATTTTAAGCCTTTCCAAGCCTGTTGGTTACTTCCTTGCCTCCTCCTTTGTCTCGCAAACGGACAGAGCGGAGTCCCAGCGGCCGTGGGCTCTTTGGTTAAATGGTGCTGTCCTGAGAGGAAGCTGCAGCAGCAAAAGGAACAACGCACTTCGGGGCACATGTACGTTTCTGCCTCTGCTGCTTTCTTATCGCTTTCCCTTCCTGCTCGTCTCTCTCAAAATAGGTTGGATAAATATCCTCCTGGTTGCCAGCACCGAGGCGCCGGAGCTGCAGAAAACCGTTATAATCCCGGCGTGCGATCATTCCCTTTTCACTTCAGATTTGTTATTGTGTTTAAATTGATTTGACTGAGCTGGGAAATTTTCAAAGTGCCTTTTTTCTACTGCTTCTGCCCAATCTGTGGTACATAACACTCCAGAATTTGTGTCTATGTCCTGGCGTGCACAGCTCTTGGTGACTTTGGGGCAATGTTGCCTGCAGTGACCGCAGGACAGGAGTGACTTACTCTCTCCGTACAAGTCTGAGGAAGCATCTGAGGTGTCCCTCCATTTACTGGTGCTTTTACACAGCTTTATGACCAAGAAATCTGTGTGCTTATCAGTCAGCTGAAGTGAACTGGTCTTTGCCGATCACTTCTATCGCATTGCTCTTTATCAGGTGCCCGTCTTGAGGTGGGTTATACCTTCATTGAGTCGAAAATAAGGTTTTCCACTAGTGAGCAGGGCTGACTCCAGCAGCCCCAGGTTTACACTCTTAAGTTTCTCAGTGCAGAAAACCTCACCCCTTCGGTGGGCACAAAGCATTGGCTCAATGCAACGTGTCAGGTAAATGAACCCCCTTTTGCATCAATTAGCAGATAGCCATGAGTAGCCCTTGGCAACAGGAAGAGACCCTGGAAGGGCTGAAAGGCTGAAAGAGGGCTGAAAGAGGGATGTGTGGGGTGTACATTGCTGTCGAGAACTATTCAAACTCAGGTTTGTTTTTGTTTTTCCTGTGTGGTCAGAGGAAGGGTAATCCAGCCTTGAGGAACCTTGGCTGGAATTTGGAAGGCCTAAGTTTAGGTTTCTGCTTTGACACAGGCTGCCTTGGGACTGACTTTCCGTGTCCTGCTGTTGGTCTGTTCCCCAAGTGAGTGTTATTTCATAGGGATGCTGCAAAATGTAATGTGTTAAAGATAACATAAGGGCTTTGAGCAACCTGGTCTAGTGGGAGATGTCCCTGCCCAGGGCAGGGGGCTGGAACTAGATGATATTTAAGGTCCCTTCCAACTCTAACCATTCTATGATTCTGTAAGTCTACATTAAATAATGTAAAAATCCATTAAAAGTGTAATGTATTAAAGATGGTCTGTTCTTAATAAAAGGAGACATGTGGCACAAGTATAACATGGTTACTCCAAGATTTTAAAACCGTAAAGGTACCAGGTTTGTTACCTTTGGGGCGTGTAGAGGAGGGCAGACTCCTGATCTCAATTCCTAACTAATGGTTCTCCTCTTTCCTCCAGCCCAGGTGATGGTGGGGAAATGCTTTGTGAAGGGTGGTTCTGTTCAGTCACTGTCTCTGTTGAAATGTCAAAATTAATCTGTAAACTCTGTGTATGTTTGTTATTACAGGGTGGATGCTTGAGAGTGGAGGATAAGGTACAAGTGTCTGGGACCGGTGGAATTGGAGGCCTGATGTAGATGGAAAGATGGGTAAGAACCGGATTATGCTGAAGCAGTTAATTTTCTGCAGCCTGCTAATTTTGGTTGGGGCTTCCAAGCATGACAGCTGAGTGGGAGCCATTGCCAAGATGGTCTGGCTAAATATTACGTTGCTTTCTAATTTTTTTTGCCTTCCAGTGGTGCCAAAATTGGACACACTTTGTTGTTACTGTCAGTGTAGTCTGGTGGGTCATGTTCTAGATGGAGCCTCTTCCCAGGTCTGCCTTGTATTTCTGGGCAGAGCATCTTCATTCCCTGTATCTCTTCTTCCAAAGAAGCTTCAGTCTCAAACAGAGCCTCAGTATATTGCTCTTTTAGTCGGTGACCTGCATTACTTGCACCTTTTCCATCTTCTGCTGGAATAACGGAGTTGTTGTGTAGCGATGCCCAGTGGTGCTGACGGAGACTTTTTTTTAAAGTGGAGATTATATATAGCTCTGGAGGTACTTAATGATCTTGGTCCTGTCTCTACTGCTAAAGAAAATTCATTGTGTCAGAAAGTGAAGTGGAAGTGCTAGACTGTCTCAGTTTTAGCATGTGAATAATCAGGCTGGTGGTGGTGTCTCACATGAGCAGGTGATAAGTGGAAGAGCCCCAGCCTCCCTTCAGCTTCTCATGCCATTGGCCATCAAACTTATCACATTACTTTTGCAAATTCGTACTTTACTTGCAGAAAAATATCCATACTCTGCTGCTGTGCTTGTAACTTGTCACAGGAGTGGTCACAGGTGGAGGCATTGCCTGATGTCTTCCCGTGGCTGCTAAAGGGCTTTCGCGGGAGACGTGTGCCTTACTGACAGCATCGCTGCTAGATTTGGGATTCAGCCAGCTTCTTATGCATTTGTGAGCATGCAAAGTATGAGAAGGCTCTTTGCAGAATGAACATTGACCACAGAAACAATTCCAAAGTGGTCTACAACCCCTTTTGCCAGCCAGGAGCAGGTCCAGCAACTGTAGGGGTTTCTGCTCTTTAATTTTGCTGAAAAGGAGCAGCTCAATAGAAGAGCTGAAGAACAAGGCCAGGTTCCACCTCGTGTGATAGAACTATACCTCGCAGTGCTCAATTAACACGTGGAGCTCATTGAACTTGGACTATCCTGCTTCCTTCACCAGAGAACCAGGTTACACAGAAGCCTAAATTCATCTCCTGAAATGGCTTCCTGACTTGGTGACCCAAAAAAGATGAGATCTTGGAGGAGTCCTGGTAGAAGCTGAGCACTTCATTTTTACATTTGCAGGATTTATACAAGTTCACCTAAAACTTTTCAGGGCTGGTTGAAATGCTGCTTTTAAAAAAAAAAAAAAAAAAACAAAAGATGGTGGGGGAATACCAGTAAATCTAGGGATTCTCCTTGCAAACATGGTAGAAAAGTAATTTAGAGTTTGACAGTGGTTTGAATTTAAAAAATGAAAAATGTGAAGCCACTGCCACACCATAACTGTTTGTGGTCCCTCATGGAGAAAGAAGAAAAGTGATGCTTACCCCATCCTGGCTTTACTCCTTTGGTTTTTTGCTCTTTCTCTGTTACGTAGAAGAGAGATCTTGTGGGGAGAGGACTAATTTAAAGTCAAGGGTGGGGAAGGAAGGGAAGAGAAAGTCCAGACCTGCTGCTTCAATAGAAAGAATGACAAATTTCAGTTTAAAATCCCTGGTGAAAAACCCCAAATTTTTTTAAGAGAGGTTTTTCACTTTGAAGGCTAAAGCCACTCCTTTATCAAGGCAATTTTTTTTTTTTAATGTTTTTTATTTTAAGAAGGAAAGCTCAGATTTGCTCTGAGTACCAGTAGGGAATGAGCTGCTGTCTCCAGTCCAGTTCTCCATAGATAGTTACTTTGACTTCTTCTACAGAGAGTGTGGCTGATACAAACTGCTCAAGGGGCCTTCAGACTGTCAGCTCTAAATATAATCTGGATGTGCTGGGAATACTGTAGTGAAGAGACCCTTTTCCAAGGCACTGTGACAGGTTTTTTGGGAAGGTGAGCAGGAGTCGTGCAGACTTGCGGTTCTGCTTACACTTTGTGGGTGGAAGGTGCTGGGCATGTCCTCTTCCCCAGATGTCATTGCTTGGGGCATTGCTATAGCTTGTCACTAGTGTAGCATCAATACCTGCATAAGCACCTGCCAGGTGGCATTCCGAAAGGGTCACGGTGTGGTCCTGAGTCTGGTCTTTGGGTTGACTGTTTGGGGGGAGATGGATGAAGTGATGTGTTTCTTGATCAGTGTTACTGAGTGGCGTTGGTTCATTAAAGGATTGTTGCAACAGCTTTGCTGATGCACAGAACATTAGGCTAAATTTTGAGGTTTTATTAGTTTCACTTCCTCCCCCTCTTATCTGTGTGTTTGTTTTCTATACGCATTGGGGTGAGGGAGCATTTTCAAGGGAAGAGCAGGAAATTTGCAGTCATGTCACTGATTCCATTCTGGTAGACCACAGATGAGGTGTGTTGAATTAAGTGATTTCTGAAGGTCCCTTCCAGGTCTACCTTTCTTCCTCAGATCCTATTTATAGCCAGTGTTTCAGAGTTCAGCATTGGACTGTTCACTCCTGGACACGTTCTAGGGAAGATGCATGACCTCGTATGGAGACAATAAGATGGGAAGTGGGGACTTCTGATGTCTTTGTGGACTGCACCTCTGACATAGCACTTTTGTTGTGTCATGTCATGCTTGGACTAGCCCTCTGCAGCCAAGGCATCCCAGTGCTGCAGGGAGGTTGCTCTGCTGTTGAAGGCCCAAGACATGGGAGTTTGGGGCCAACCTAAGCAGAGGTCCTTGGCGCTGGGTGGTCTTATGATGTGTAGACATGGCCGTGAGCATGTCACTTAACGCTTATTTATTCTCTCAGTGCTGTTTCTGAAGGACCTGGACATACCTCTGGAGGATAGATCAGAGAGGGCTTAATTTGGGAGGAAAGAGCAACTGGACACAGCACAGGATCTTATGACAGAATTGTTCTGGTTTTACTTAATGCTTTAGTCTTCAGTAAATCACTGCAGCTCCAATTCAGTGTTGTCCTGGGGCACTTCATTCCAGATGTGTAATGGTTGTATTTGTACTGGAGCATTTGACCCTTTCTTTGTATGGAACGTGGAAAAGTAATGAACTCATCTTTAACATAGTTGTTGGGTTGCCATTCTTCTCAGGGCTCAAAGAACACTCCTGGACACGTTCTAGGGAAGATGCATGACCTCGTATGGAGACAATAAGATGGGAAGTGGGGACTTCTGATGTCTTTGTGGACTGCACCTCTGACATAGCACTTTTGTTGTGTCATGTCATGCTTGGACTAGCCCTCTGCAGCCAAGGCATCCCAGTGCTGCAGGGAGGTTGCTCTGCTGTTGAAAGTCCAAGACGTGAGTTTGGGGCCAACCTAAGCAGAGGTCCTTGGCACTGGGTGGTCTTATGATGTGTAGACATGGCCGTGAACATGTCACTTAACGCTTATTTATTCTCTCAGTGCTGTTTCTGAAGGACCTGGACATCTCTCTGCAGGATAGATCAGAGGGCTTAATTTGGGAGGAAGGAGCAACTGGACACAGCATAGGATCTCATGACAGAATTGTTCTGGTTTTACTTAATGCTGTATGTAATGTAAATCACTGCAGCTCCAATTCAGTGTTGTCCTGGGGCACTTCATTCCAGATGTGTAATGGTTGTATTTGTACTGGAGCATTTGACCCTTTCTTTGTATGGAACGTGCAAAAGTAATGAACTCATTTTTAACATGGTTGTTGGGTTGCCATTCTTAGGCCTCAAAGAGTCCAAGTGACATATGCCTCTTACATTGATTTTCTCAGTCTTGATAATGAGAGAAAAATTGGAGTGGAGAGCATGTGTCCTGAAGCCGGATGTCCCACCTCTCTCTCCTGGCACAGAGCAATTCTTCCAGCTCTCAGTCCCTTTCCAGCTGCCACCTCTCCATAAGGGTCCAAGACCTCTTTATAAATTGATCAAAATGTAGCTGTGGACCAGTGAGTGCATATGACCCTTCTAAAGATGTTCCCATCTCCAATACAACACAGTGGAAGGACCGTGGTCAACAGTGGTTAAAAATTGCTGTGTTTAAATGCGACGTCACAGTAAAAGTAATGTTTAAAATCTGCAGAAGTTGGTATAAAAAGGACCAGAATGTTATTGCCTAAACTCTTTCTTTTTGTTTAAAAATTAGAGGTCCTTGGCACTGGGTGGTCTTATGATGTGTAGACATGGCCGTGAACATGTCACTTAACGCTTATTTATTCTCTCAGTGCTGTTTCTGAAGGACCTGGACATCTCTCTGCAGGATAGATCAGAGGGCTTAATTTGGGAGGAAGGAGCAACTGGACACAGCATAGGATCTCATGACAGAATTGTTCTGGTTTTACTTAATGCTGTATGTAATGTAAATCACTGCAGCTCCAATTCAGTGTTGTCCTGGGGCACTTCATTCCAGATGTGTAATGGTTGTATTTGTACTGGAGCATTTGACCCTTTCTTTGTATGGAACGTGCAAAAGTAATGAACTCATTTTTAACATGGTTGTTGGGTTGCCATTCTTAGGCCTCAAAGAGTCCAAGTGACATATGCCTCTTACATTGATTTTCTCAGTCTTGATAATGAGAGAAAAATTGGAGTGGAGAACATGTGTCCTGAAGCTGGATGTCCCACCTCTCTCTCCTGGCACAGAGCAATTCTTCCAGCTCTCAGTCCCTTTCCAGCTGCCACCTCTCCATAAGGGTCCAAGACCTCTTTATAAATTGATCAAAATGTAGCTGTGGACCAGTGAGTGCATATGACCCTTCTAAAGATGTTCCCATCTCCAATACAACACAGTGGAAGGACCGTGGTCAACAGTGGTTAAAAATTGCTGTGTTTAAATGCGACGTCACAGTAAAAGTAATGTTTAAAATCTGCAGAAGTTGGTATAAAAAGGACCAGAATGTTATTGCCTAACTTTTTCCTTTTGGTTTAAAAATGATTCTATGATTCTTAATTCTGGTTATGAAATGCT